ATTGTATTACTGTACTGTGTAAAAAAAGAATCGCAATGCTGAAAAAGCATTTTCAGTGACAATGTTTGGATTTGAAATCAAACTAATGGATAAATGTTGTGTTTGTGGTAAACGGCCACGGATCAGTAGCGGACTCCTGTGTGAAAGCTGCTTCCCCTCTCACAAGAGTCACCTAAGAGGGGAATTCCCCCCATTTTCAAAAATGAAATTCAGGCCCTAAAAATCCTGATTGGAGTGGAATGATAATTTGGTATATTCCAATGATAGGGAAATAATAAAAAGAAGGCTTTAAAAAGATCGGTATCGGTGATCGGTATCGGCAGATACTGCTTTCTGTGATCGGCGATCGGCCTCAAAAATCCTGATCGGAGCACCCCTAATGATAATAATAAGAAATGTTTCTTGAGCAGTAAATCAGCATATTAGAATGATTTCTGAAGGATCATGTGACACTGAAGACTGGAGTAAAGATGCTGAAAAGTCAGCTTTGATCACAGGAATAAATTACATTTTAAAATATATTCAAATAGAAAACTGTTTTTACAGTATATTTGATCAAATAAAATTAGTCGTTGAGCATTAGAAACTTTTCAAAAACATTTTTACAAATCTTACCGACCCCAGACAATGATAATATATGTGGATGCTGGTGTTGTTCTGTGTTTGTATTAAGCAGGAAGCAAGTCTCCATATGTCAAGGAAAAATGATTGTACCTAATCAAGTGATGTCAGAAAGATAATCACTTATTAAAAATCCAAAACACTGTGGCAAATCAAACACAATAAAGCTGCTTTATGCCTCCTGGTTTAATTACGCTTACCTATGGTAGTCACCATTACTATGGAGCTTTTGAAGTAATTACTGGCTGGCACGTAGAAACAATGGTCTTCGTTGCAAACAAACGTCCCTCGTCGCACCTGGTTCCTGGCTATATACACTATATATCCATACATGGAGCACATCAGTACAATGGGAATGATGATTCCCACCACCATGAAGAGCATGTTGAAGGCAATGCTGGACGGTTTGAAGTTGGGAACACAGAGGAACTTTGTCTCGCTGTAGACGTAACTACCAAAACCAAAGAGTGGCAGAGCTGCAGTGAGGATGCTGTAGACCCACACCATTGCGAGGATGACTTTGGCCCTGTATGCTGTGAAGATCACGGGGTAGCTGAGGGCAAAGTAGATCTCTGTGAACTTCTCGACAGTCGCCCAGGTGAGCGAATGGATTGAGGCGAGCTGGAGCAACAAAAACAGAAAGGCGCTGCCCTTGCAGGTGGCGCTCTTACTAGGGTAGCTCTTGACTTGAAAAAGGCTGTTATGGATACCGAAAGGGATGGTGGAGACGCCCAACGCCAGATCACATAGGCAGAAGCTTAAAGTGAGACCCCAGGTGTCCGTTTGCAAACTCCGATTGAGTAACACCACCAAAAGTAATACCAAGTTCCCCAACACGGAGCAGATACTGGAACCGATCATCAACGCTGCATAAACCATCGCCGTCCACTGCATGTTTACATGTGCGTTCAAATGCAGACATTTACAAAGAAGAACACAAACGCTCATTCAACGACAGAGATCACACTGGAAGCTGTGGAAAGAGGAGGTCACGTTATCTGTGCCAAACCACCAGGGAAGGTGTTGCTTTATGGGAGGAGTGTACCTCATGCTGATCTTCAGGAGTAGAGGATCAACCGCAATTTACCAAGCACTGATCTCTTTGGGGAGCGTTAGTCAAACCCCCCTCCACCTTTACTATCAGCACCTGCATCAGCCGGTTCGAAAATGGCAAACGCTGCCTTGAGAGGCAAAACTATGTGAACAGCTACAATCACATGTAGCGAGGTAAATAAAGCATCTACCATTTAAAGAGTATGTTTCTGTGGACACAGGGCGCACTGGGAGGCTGGAGCTGCACTGCTCTGCAAACACGACGCTTGAGATTCAGTATCCTCTCTGTTGTGGCTGCTGCTGACTTTATGAGCCGTTTCATGCTCGAGTGTTTTTTTTAGTATAATTGGCAAGAAGCATGACCCTAATGCGGTTTAAGCCTTAATCATTAATTAAGGCTTCGGTGCCTTTACCCAGAGCTTAAGCCTTCCTTCCAGTTATAACAGTTATATCCTGTTACATGTGTCGTTTCTTACGGGCATTAAACAGTTTTTGGATTACAGGTTTTTTGATGGTATTGCACAAGCCATATTTGCAATACCTGACCTGGAATTAATTGTTTAGTCAAATATAAATATCAAAACTGACTAATTACTTCACAGTTGCAGTCAGTTTCTATGAAAGCCCGTTTCCGCACTGTGTAAAAAAAAATAAAACAAGGTAATTGCGACTTTTTATCTCACAATTATTTTTTTATTTTTTTTACATTTCTCGCAACTGCTAGTTTACATCTCACAATTCTGACTTTTTTTCTTGTAATTGTGAATTTACATTTTACAATTCTTACTTATTTTCTTAGAAGTGTGAGAGATAAACTCAAAATTGCAAGTTATAAAGTCCAATTCTGAGGGGATAAAAAAGGTACTTTCTTACAAATGTGAGTTTATATCTTGCAATTCTGACTTTATTTCTAAGAATTGCGAATTTCTCACAATACTGACTTTGCAATTCACAATTCAGAATTGCGAGAGATAAATTAGAAATTCTTAGAAATAAAGTCAGAATTGCGAGAAAGTCAGAATCTTGATATAAAAAGTAGCAATTCCTTTTTTTCTTTTCTTTTTTTTTTCAGTGGCGGAAACATGCTCTTAAGTTCACCAAGGCTGAAAATTCAGCTTTGGCATTACAGGAATACATTTCATTTTAAACTATATTAAAATAGTAATATTATCAAATATTATTACAATTGAAAACATTTTTTCTTTGTTTTTAATCAAATAAATGCAGCCTTTGTGAGCATAAGATACTTTTAAACTTTGAAAAGTTTGGAATATTGATGATTTTTTAAATAGTAGACTTCTTGAGGAGTGGGACACTGTGGCTTTGCTAATGCTTCCAAAACATCTCCATTTGTCTTCGATTCTTGCTTAATGGTGTGACTTTGGATTAGACTATGTATAAGCTGTTCAGTGGAGCATTAGTTAGTTTGTCCAGACAATAGCAGATTGGTGGGAATGTTTTGGAAACCTGTTAGAATGCAACCCTTTATCTTTGCAATAACTTTGATGGGTTTGTCTTTAATATTGTTGAACAAAATATTGAGCAGTGTTCTCTGTCTTTTCTTTTTCCTCAGCACAACGCTCCTATCCCACAGGGTGGACGTGGAGCCATACAGTACGTAACACAGTACCAGCATTCTAGCGGGCAGAGGCGCATCAGAGTGACCACAGTTGCAAGGAAGTGAGTGTTTTCAACATTGACAATAATAAGAAATATTTCTTGAGCAGCAAATCAGCATATTAGAATGATTTCTGAAGGATCATGTGACCCTGAAGACTGGAGTAATGATGCTGATAGTTATAGTTATTAATGGTTATTAATAAAATAGTTATTTTAAATTATATTTTTGATCAAATAAATGCAGCCTTTGTAAGCGCAAATGACTTCTTTCAAAAACATCTTACCAACTCCAAACTTTTGAACAGTACCGTAAGGATTTTGTATATTAGAACTTCTATTCTACTGTATTTCAACCCTAAATGTCACCGAAATGTCACTGAGACACAAGAACCGATAAAGTCCACAAAGTGTCCACTTTGTTCACTATTTGAGTAATAGTACACTTGGCAAGAGGAACTGGGGGGGGGGCCGGGGGGGAACCTTGTAGATAG